CCACAGTAACCTGTTTACTTTGGACCAACCTGTTTACTTTAGACCAACCACAGCCACAGTAACCTGTTTACTTTAGACCACCATGGCCACATTAACCTGTTTACTTTAGATCAGGGGTCTCCAAACTTTTCATTCCGAGGGCCGCATTAACTATCAAATTTTAGTTCGGGGGCCAGTTTCTTCCAGGCATGTCTTTGATTTTTCTGGGCAAAGCTGCTTGACCATCACCAACAAACGTTTTTTTTCCGTAGACAAAAAGATCTCCGAGGGCCGGATGAGAGGACCTCCCAGGTCGTAGTTTGGAGACCCCAGCTTTAGATCAACCAAGGCCAACATGACATGTTTTACTTGGCCATAGTAAATTTTCTTTGGTTGCCTAACCATCGCATACTTTACCTCCCTTTACCAAACTGATCAGTGTCTATGTGATAGCTGGTTCAGGGTTTGTCACAATGAGCCTAAAATTACTTCTTTTATTATTTTTGTAGCTATTCTTGTAATTAATTTAATGTGTTTCTTTTTCTTGCATTTCCTGTAAAAATTGTACACAATAATTTAAATCTTCATATTTAAAACAATCACTATACATTAGTGACTGAAAACTTGATTTTGTCTTGAAAATTTTAACATCTATTTTGTAAAAATACAGTATTGTTAAGGATGTGGTTTACATTTTATATTTTAATTTTGTAACATTCTGGTATTTTACCACTGTTTTCAAGTGTAAGTGATATGGCTCATACTTTTTCAATATTTTTAATGTCCGTATCTGTTTATTTATTACTGAGTTTATGTCCCGTATAATTGTTTATTTTTATTTGTTTGTCTGCAAAAAGTTAGGTGATGTTTTTGATATGATTGTAGATCATTTGTTCTCTCTATAAATGCATTATTTTGTTAAAAACATAAATACACATTTTATTATTAGGCATTATTCCAAATATCAATTAATTTATCAGTATTAAAATAGTATTATCTCTCTTTTCTTCTTATTGTGTACATTTTAATGTAGATGTCTAGATGAAATTCAAGTTCAGTTAGTTATACTACTTAGTGATTATTTGAGGCTTTAATTTATTGAGTATAACGTTGTATACCAAAAATTTTGTTTTAGGTAGGTTATGTCTTAATTGTGTACTAAGCACACAGTGCAGAGAAGTGTTTATATTTTAAGCAATCAGGCTGTTTTGGGGCCAGTAGATTATTGAGATGAATGTTTAGAAAAAACAAATTATTTTAGTTATGATCCTGGTTTTAGTATTCCCCAAATAGCCATTAAGTTTCCTACATTTTCCAGGTTTACTTTAAATATATCCCAGATAACTGAAGAAAATGACATCAAAAAGTAATAGTCAAAATTCAACTATAAAACCTGGAAAGTGTTATTTTCCGTGATTCATACTATTGATGTATATGCTTGTCTTATTATAACTTAAGGAACTTTTTTTTGTTCAATGCCTGAGGATATATATATATATATATATATATATATATATATATATATATATATATATATATATATATATATATATATATATATATATATATATATATATATATATATATATTACCCACTTTACGGGCAGTAAAGAAAGAAAAGTGCCCTTATAGATCAGCAATTTCAAGTGGTAGGTGATACAATTTTTAATTACATTAATTTATCTCATATAAAGTAAGTAAATTTCCCTTTTTGAATCCGACGGTCCATGGAACAAGTGAAGTTGAGTTCACCTGTTTCTGTGACCTTGACATATAAAAGGATGGTTTGATCAGCACTATGCCCAACCACCTTTACTTTCTATTTGGTGGGTGAGGCGCCCATCGGAGTTCGGTCGGACGCTCTATTTACTTGAGCGTGGATTCGAACTCGAGACCTTTTGGGTTAGCAGTCTTGCTCTAGCGCTAGGCCATGAAGTCCCATAACTTATCTGACATATTGATGGATAGTATAGTGAACATATGACCATCCACCTTTGATTTTTCCCTTAAGTAAGGCAGATACTCTTATAAAAACTGAGTGAAAAATCCTACAGCCTTGAGTCCATGAACCAGGCTCAAGTGTTCTCGTTATTAATAGCATGCTCCACTGATTGCCGGTACTAAAACTTATTATGAAAAAAAATCATAAAAAACGTTTTAATAACAAGCTTTTATGTAATAATGCACTAAAAAGTAGAAAATAAATTATAGACTACTATTTAAATAACTAGAAAGAAAAGCGTGGGTCACTTTAGTATCTATTGGATACCTACACTAATGTTTAGGAAGACACCCACGCTTTTCTTTCTAGTTATTTAAATAGTAGTCTATAATTTATTTTCTACTTTTTAGTGCATTATTACATAAAAGCTTGTTATTAAAACGTTTTTTATGAATTTTTTTGTCAGTACTTTACATGTTTTATTTACAATAGAGTTACATGACTAAAAACCATTGCGCGCCTACTGAACATCACGTTCAGTAGGCGCGCAATGGTTTTTGAACGCAGCCATTGAACGTGATGGCGCAGCTATTGAAGGTGATGACGCGTGTGGTGTGGTTGGCTAGACATGCCTACTAATTCGGTCCAAATTTTAATTAATTCATAAAAAATTAATTAGGCATCCAATTAAGTCAAATTTAGTTTCAGATTGCATTGTCTTCATGTCTTGACCCACGTGCCAAATGTGAATCGTATCGGTCAAGTAGAAGTTTCCGAATTTTCACTCCTGCGTTTCGATCTAGACTGACGACAGATTTGAAGCAGGAATTATGTTAGCTGAAAATGTATTTTAATGTTGTTTCCAAGCTAATTAAACGAATGTGATCTTCCACAACATGTACATACTGACATGAATATCCAAAGTAGATTTTTCGAAGAAAGTTCATTTTTATTGGAAATCATATTTACAAGTATAGGTGTTTAAAATTTTTCTAAAAGAAATCAAATCTTAGCAAAACAGTTGGTGGTGCTGCAACTTTATTCCAACCAAGGAGCCTGTTGACAAACAAAGGAGCTAAGGTTATATATTCTCTTAGGCCTATTAACTGCTAACTAAAATATATTTCTTATGGAAAATTAAATCTTTCTTGTTTACAAATTAAGATAGCGGTAGGAATATAAAAAATCAAAATAATGTATATTCATTCAAGCACTATCAGATGGAATTACACCGATTAAATGTTGGTGATGGTCTTCATATAATGATGTAGTTGAAACGAAAAAAATAAATAATATAATTAAGGTAGAAACGCATTTTTTAAAAAGTTATTATAGTATGTAGGCAGAACACTTAAAGGTAATTTATATTTTTATAGAGGGTAAATTTCAGTTCGTTTTATTAGATTAGCAGCCTGATGGATAAATAAAAATGTGTTTGCATTCTAGTTAATTCTGAATCAAGTTAAAAAAAAAACACTATATACTTAAGTTACTGAGAAATATTATAAAACAGGGCTGTCAAACTTTATAATGACAGCTTACAGGAGGGGGGGTCAAACAGCCCTTTTATACAGTATCAAACAGCTATTGTCATAGGTCAACTTTCACCCCCCCCCCCTTTAACATAACCATTTGGATAAAAAATGACACACTGCATCAGTGTAGGTGTGTGCAGCACTCACAACATACATCTGCACATTCTATCGAATGTATACAGCATCAGAAAGTACAACCAATGATCAGTAGAGACAGTTTTAAACTTGAAATGCATTAACAATTAAAAAAAACTTTTTAAAACTGTATTTACGTAACATAAAGATTAACAAATTCTAATGCTATGTTGTTTGATTACGTATGTTGAATTCAAATAAAGGTTACATAAACATTGGCCATTTTTCACATAAAAAGAAACTTTCTTTTATACAAATTAAATGTGATAATATAATAAACATATTTACAGATAAATTCCCCATAGTGAAGAAATATGTACAGTTTTACATGTGAATAGTTTATACAGTAAGATTAGTGAAGTTACTCGTTTGCTTTCAGTCGTGTTGTAACAAAAGTAAACGTTACTAAATGAATTAGTAACATTTTATTTTGTCTGAATGAGTGGGCCTAGTTCAGACACATTTAGTTTATCGCTAGATTGTGTGTAAAATAATGCAACAATAAAGTCAGTAAAATTGTTTGTGATTATAGAAGTGATATCTTTAGTGGCGAAGCATGGGTGTGCGGAGGGGCCGATCCAACCCCTGACGGAATTCGCCGCGGCTGTAGTTAAGTGTATATTCACAGCGGATATCATGATATTCTAATGTAACCCAAAGACGAGGCGAATTGATTTACAATAAGGCTTCAGAATTATTTAGGGGTGATTTTATATGAAAGCAAGTTGATGTTAAAAATAAAAGCCATTCCTGATTAAACACCACACTGACCCCCACATTAATTAAATACTAAGACTGGAATTTATTAACTTAAAAAAATGTAGTGGTTGTTTTTTCTCAGATTATTTTCACTAGCACTTAATCAAAAGATATTGTCCACATTTAGACAACCCAATGGCATTTGTCTCATTCGGATGCTCACCAGAAGAACAAACCATAGAGCTGTACATGCTGATGTTAACTTCAGTACCACATAAAACTAATGAATGTCAGTTTGAGATATTAAAGCTCCATTCTTCTATATTCCTTTTAGCCCGAATGGTTTATAGTTCGGATCTCGGTTCGGACTTAAGATTGTTTGACGTCCTGAGTCTACCCAGCTCTGATGGGTACCTGACCTACTTTGGGGAGATTAAACGCAGCTGGGCATAGTGCTGAACACACCATCCCTTCATATGTCAAGGTCGATAAACGTCCGAACACTATTTCATCTGACCAATGGATTGCTGGGTCTAAAGAGGAATCTACTCCAGCTATTATTTTTGTGTTTTTGTTGATATTGCTACCCCGGTTTATACATAACACTAATCATTTCAGAAAAACGTGAAAAAGACCCAATTGTAATTTCTCTAGCTACAACCACAAAAGTACTATCAAGTTAGTTCTTTTTACTAGCTAAAGACATTAGATTACTTTATTATATTTTAGTAATTTTACACGGCGAGATTGTAAAAAATAAACATTTCAAATCTCATAGTAGATGAGCTTGTATCAACAAATCAAAATAACCAGCTAATCAGGATCATAAAAAATAAGACCTTGGAGAATAATCTCCAACTCTAGACATAAATATCACATCAAATGTCCCCTTAGACGCATCAATCCTTTCACCCTACACCCATACATATAAAATCTCTCCCTACATCCATACCACCATTTTTTTCACTGCCTCTCACGCTGAAGAATAAAACCACGCGCCGTCATCACATCTCTGTCGTCACTTCCATTTGAATTGTGGGTAACCTGTCGAGGTGAATGGCGGGGAGGGCGCTCATGCAAGGCACGGTATGCATGCGCTGGAGGCGGCGTTTCTCGCGGGCTACCATGGTGGTGGACATCTTGCGGCTGTAGTTCTTGTAGATAACGCTGTCCTGGGCTCGCTTCACGATCTTGATGCTCTCGAGGTTCTGGGGGGAAGAGAAGAGGGTGGTTTTTTTTAATGAGAGCAGGACACGTACACCCCACCCCGTCAATTAACATGAGTAGAGCATGACCATAACACCCCACCCCACTCGCTTAACGATCTTGATGCTCTCGAGGTTCTGGGGGGAAGAGAAGAGGGTGGTTTTTTTTTAAAATGAGAGCAGGACACTTACACCCCCCCCCCCTCCCACCCATTAACTCTCAATTGAGTATGACATTAACCCCGCCGCAACCCGTCAATTACCACTGATGAGAACATGACACTAACACTCCCTCCCCCGTCAATTGCCACTGATATAGAATATGACAGTACTCTCCACCCCCGGTCAATTACCGCTCATTAAAGCATGACACTCTCCCCTATTAATTATCAAGTATCATACCCGGTCATTTGCCCCCCCCCCCCCCCCTCAAATCAATTTATCTCAATCAGTTATCCCTTTGTGCTTTACCCCGCTCAAATTAACTGCAGTAGGACATTACCCATCGGTCGATTGCCTCGGGTATTCGGCGATATATACGGATAGGGATAGGTTCAGGATAAGCCGAGATTTGGGATAGTATAAGATTTAGTAATGGAGAATAGTTTGTGGAGTATAATTGATTCGCGGGTAATGTTAACACGAGGTCATAAGGTGATAAGACCTAATATTGTAGCCTTAAAATGGCTGACTAAATATATTAGCCTGACAGGGGTGACCTTATGTGTTAGTGACATAGAGGTGACTCCATACGGCCTTTGAGGTAACTCTAGTCTAACCACATACTCTAGTCTGACCTAGAGTGACCACATACGGAAGTGTGACATTGAGGTGACTCTAGTCTGACCTAAAGTGACCACATATGGAAGTGTGACATTGAGGTGACTCCAGTCTGACTTAGAAGTAACTCCGCATTATAGTCTGACCATAATACGATTCTACGTCCCCACAATACGATACTGTGTCCATACAATACGATACTGTGTCCCCCTCAATACGATACTGTGTCCCTACAATACGACACTGTGTCCCTACAATACGATATTGTCCCCACAATACGATATTGTCCCCACAATACGATATTGTCCCCACAATACGATATTGTGTCCCCACAATACGACACTGTGTCCCTACAATACGATATTGTCCCCACAATACGATATTGTCCCCACAATACGATATTGTCCCCACAATACGATATTGTGTCCCCACAATACGACACTGTGTCCCCACAATACGATACTGTGTCCCCACAATACGATACTGTGTCCCCACAATACGATACTGTGTCCCCACAATACGATACTGTGTCCCCACAATACGATACTGTGTCAATACAATACGATACTGTGTCCCCACAATACGATACTGTGTCAATACAATACGATACTGTGTCCCCACAATACGATACTGTGTCCCCACAATACGATACTGTGTCCCCACAATGCGATACTGTGTCCCCACAATACGATACTGTGTCCCCACAATACGATACTGTGTCCCCACAATACGATACTGTGTCCAAACAATACGATACTGCGTCGGCAGAAGATCCCGTAATGTTTTAAGACCAAAATCCAACCCCTCTAGTGTTTTGATGTAAAGATGATCAAATTGTAATTCCAATAACACGAACAGACTAAAAACTATCCCACCAATCGAAAAAATAGAAATACGACCTATCAGGTCATTTTACCGATAGATACGAGAAATAACCGCAAAATGTACTCTAACAGAAAGATGGCCAAATAGTACAACCGGACTGTATGTGTAAAGAAAGTGAACAGACGCGCTTTTAAATTTCACTTAGGCCGGGTGAAGTAGAGTACAACTGCTTTTGTTTATTAAAAGACTGCTAATGCGTTGTCATAATTCCCCCTTTACTTGAACTACAAGGTCAACTAATTGCTGTGCGGAGCTGTAATTGACCTCATATAATCTGCTTTAATTAGCTCAAACTCTACCACCGAACCACGCCTTTCATTAACGCAAATGTTAATATTAATAAATTATGGAAATTATTTCGTAGCACGAGCTTGTTAGTGTCTAATTACAACTTTGGCGGTAATTTGCAATTTATAAAATAGGCAACTGTAAAACCTAGTGACTATTCTGTTCAGTATTTCGACCTTAATTAACTATTTGATTAACTAGCCAATTATTTTATAGGACTTTATTTAAAATACGGGTAATCCATTCATATTAGAAATAGGGCATGGGTTTTTAAAAATATTGACAAACTGATCCAATACCTTTGGATTGTGTTTGTATCTTGGCTCCATTGGCTGCATGATACGGATACTATCCCACTTCTTGAGAAACGCCATGACAGCGAAAAGCCAGAAGATGACAATGATTAATACGATAACAAACTCTTCGACCTGGATAACTTGCCGCACTGGAACTTTTGCTTGGTCGTCTGCAAAAAAAAAAAACAAAAAAAAATATCAGATAAAAATGAATTAAAAAAGGAACGGGATTTTTAACAAAAGAAAAAACATGATTGATAATCTAAGCAAATATTAATGTTATGCTTGTGTAATCCTTCATTGTCGTGGATTGATTATAGGAAAAGCTATTTGTTATGTCAGGTGTAATCTTATAAGTAGAGTTAAGCTGGCGAGATTATCATAGGGTTAGCGAGTCTACATGTATTAGCGTATTGATTTTGTTTCAGCGTGATAAAGGGCGTAATTGTTTTTTGTACGACACTTTCAGGTTCTCGCGTCTACGTGCTATTTCATTTTGTGGTTCTCAAGTTTTATGGATTTTAGGTGTTGTTGTTCTTTGATCATGTGTGAGTGTTTGTATGTTTGAGGGAAGTAGGGGTAGGAGTAGGGGGGGGGGGAGTCCAATTTTTAGAGCTCAGGTTTCATAATTTGAATTTTTTTTTTATGTTTCTCACATCTTAGGGTTTCTCAAGTTTGGGCGTATTCAAGTACTTTAGCTATGAAGTTAGAGGGTTCTAACATTTTCAAGTTTCGAAGTTTTCACGTAATTAAGGCTATCGAAAATTACGATTCTTGTCGATTTTTAAACCATGATATACTCATGTTTATTTTGCTTAAATTTCGGGTTACGCAAACGTTAAAAATTCTTCTTTACTCAAACTTTGGGTTGCAATATTTATACTTTGTGCTATCTCATTGTTAAAATTGTAAAGGATGTCAAAAAAAATATTCCTAAAGTTTCTAGATGAGCGAGAGCTGCCAGGATTTGAGCAACAATTGTACTTTACATCCTTTAACCCCCACCCCCTCCCAATAAATTAGGTTAAGATAAGACGAACTAAAGTTTTTTCCTGCTCACACAATGCACATCGTAGTGCACAATCAGATGCACTTTACGAGAGATCAAAAGCCCGGTGGAAAAACGCTTGTCTAGAGGCTGGCAACATGGGTGAGAGGAATGTTTGATTCTCCATGCTGTTTCAGTCTGCCGGGGTAATGTGCTGTATTTTAGTCGTTAATTTTGACGAAATATCAAATTCATACTTATCTTTCTACTGTATCAAATGTTCTGAACTATTCACATCTCTTTAGGTGTAATTAACACATACAACAATTACATTTGAGGAACGCTGCGATACATTTTTATTTTGACAAACATTTCCATACAAATCAGTTTTCGTTTATAATTAAATTGGATTGCCTCGCCTAAAATATCTGGCCAATCATACATTTAATTAAACAACTGTCAATAAAGTACACGTGTATCTATAGTATTACAGGTGCAGTCTATGCTAAGTTATGATATGATTACATAGATAAAATAACATACTAGCAATTAACCCGGTCTTGAACGGTGCGCCGCTAATTTAATACATTTCTGTAACGATGGTTCGTAATTTAGAAGTTCGATTTTATGTCAGATTTTCCCGTGATTGATTTCACTGATTGTATCGTCGTTCACTAATTATTGGTGCTCTTAATAGCACTAGACTCATTTGACATAGTCGATAATTAGCGATCAATACAAATTAGATAAAATGGGGAACATTCCTAACCTGTGTCATCAGTACCCTAGGTACGTCAATTATAGTGCTTCAGGGAAATAACATGGAGATAATTTTGTAAAGAATTATTGGAGCTGTACATTGAGGTCATACAGCTGTACCGAGAGGTCCTGCAGGTGTACAAAGAGGTCCTACAGGTTTACACAGAGGTCCAACGGGTGTAACCAGAGGTCCTACAGCTGTACCAAAAGGTCCTACAGCTGTACCGAGAGGTCCTGCATGTGTACCCAGAGGTCCTACTGGTGTACCTAGAGGTTATACAGGTTTACACAGAGGTCCTACAGGTGTACCCAGAGGTCCTACAGGTGTACCTAGAGGTTATACAGGTGTACACAGAGGTCCAACGGGTGTACCCAGAGGTCCTACAGGTGTACCCAGTGGTCCTACATATGTATCCAGAGGTCCTACATATGTATCCAGAGGTCCTAAAGGTGTACCCAGAGGTCCTACAGGTGTACACATATATGCTACAGGTGTACCAAGAGGTTGTACAGGTGTACTCAGAGGTCCTACATGTGTACCCAAAGGTCCTACAAGTGTACCCAGAGGTCCTACAGGTGTACCCAAAGGTCCTACAAGTGTACCCAGAGGTCCTACAGGTGTACCCAGAGGTCCTACAGGTGTACACAGAGGTCCTACAGGTCTACCCAGAGGTATTACATGTGTTCACAGAGGTCCTACAGCTGGACTCAGAGGTCCCACATGTGTACCCAGAGGTCCTACAGTTGTACACATAGACATCTGTGCATTTTGAACTCTTACAGTCGTGCACAACGTCCGTCCTTTACTAAATGCGTTACATTTCTTTATTTTATTTTAGAAAACATTATCCAGATTCTGTGTCATAGTATATTTTTATGCCACGATAACATTAATTCAAATAAACCTTTTAAATTTTTTTCTCTTATACTTATTTGTATTCCCACCCCAAGCCTACGAAATATATTATTTCTCTAACTTTTCTTGTAGAACATGCTATGTTGGTTTCTTGTCAAGATTCCGCATGGCTCCTTCAATCACCCCAACGATTACTCAATAAATCAACATGAAATATTACCATATTCAATCTCCCAACCTTCATAATTATTTCGCATCTTATTTGATGGAGAGCAAAAGCATTTGGATTTTTTCCCACATAAACTAGACAACAAGAAGTATGACGAACGTAGATACATTGGTTTTTGAGATTGATTTTTTTCCCCTCCCGATCCTATATCATAAAACACAGACGTATGGATTAGAGAGTGGGGTGGGGAAGTGGGATCGAGAGAGGGCGAGAGAGGGCTAGCGGCTAGAGAAAGGTGAGAGAGATGGGGGGGGGGGGGGGGAATGGCAGTGTTTCTTTCAGACTTTTTTCTCAGGGAGGGGGGTGGGGGGACTTGTTATTATAGTGGAGGGGGGGGGGGGGGATTAAATTTTCCAGGGGGGGGGGGCGGACACTGGTAGAAGTAAATATTTCTATATACATTCCATTTCGTTCGGGGGTGCATGGGTGTCGGTAGACTTTCTTCGAAGAGATGCCTGAAAGAAACTCTTTGGAGAGGGAGCGGTGGGAAGGGCTCAAATGACTTCTACGTCGCTATAATAACTTCACTTAGAATTAAAATTGAAAAAAAAAAATATACAACTAAATTGAAAAAAAATTAAATTATACAACTAAAAGCAAGAGGCGTCTTTGTCGGATGGTAGAGCGCACGGATTCTGACAAGTCTGGGTTCATATCTCAGGTGTTAGTCCATTAGAATTTGTTAATTCCACCTTGGCTTGTGAGATACCTGTCTCACGTGATAAAAGTCAGCTAGATTTTGTGCAGATCTTAATATCAAATTACATGCACGAGGTCACATAAACTGCTGAACTCTACTTCACCATGCATTTAGATCTAATAAATTATTACTATATTTAAAAACGTGAAGCCTCTCATCTTTACCAAAATAATTAATTATCCAACCAATTCATCAAGTATGGAGAGACAACCTCTGTTAGGAATCCCGCGGGTTGCTATGTGTGACATCGTATAGTTTTTGTAGGGCAGGTTAACTTGTAATTAGTCATTAACGATGAGGATACGTCTTATTCGAGTAATCAGCTATGTCGGTGATAATTAGATGACTTCCTTATTTTAATTATCTAATGGTTTATGAGATCTACTTAATTATATACGAAGTTCTGGGTTTGTTCTTTTAAAAATAGACTTCAAAGTTTTATTTTTTAATGCCACATTTTAAATAAAAAAAGTAAATTATTTTCAAATAGTGTTATTTAATTAAATAAAATGCAATTTTAAGAGTGTTGTTAGGTGACAGACGTAGAGATTACTATGGTTTGTCCGTCACACAAGAACGGTTTTTGTAAATTTGAGACGTAAAGGGAGATAACATAGATAATTGATAAAATGTCAAGGGCAGATAATCGAGTAGGTTTTGAAATTTCTTGTGATGAAGTTTAATATGATGATGTCTAGTGCAAGAGTGTTATTTCAGTTTTTTTTGCCAATGTAATTAACATAAGATTTACAATAATCTTTACTTTTTTGATTTTCTACAATGTAAAAAAGAAAGAAAATAACTCCAAGGGGTTAATTTTTACATGGGAAATTTATTGGAAACCAGAGTTTCCTACGGTTTGAAAACGTATTTCTAATACACGACAATATATTCTTGGATTCTTGCTAATGATTGACGGCAAACTATAATTTAAATCTAAATGCTATTTTATGTGTATGTGGCGAAAAAAAAAAAGAGAGAAAAAAAAAACTATGCTATTTTATTTTCTCCATCTAATTACCTTATATACAATTGATGTTCATGTCTTTGATGCTGTATAATAACATCAAATAATTTATTATTACTATTTTAAATGTTTAAAACAAATGAATTAAAAAAAAGGAAAAAGAAACTGTTTGAGGACTGCTATAGATATATATGTTTGAAAGGGAAGAATGTTTGATTTGATGTGTCTCATTGTAAAAAACATAACTTTTTCGGTTGCTTAAAATTTGTATCATTTTAATTCTCTGTAAATCCCAAATTTATTTCAGCTCTACTTAAAAAGCCCAAACCCCCCTCAGCCCACTACGCAGATGGAAAAAAAAATCCATTTAATCATCATTTAATTACACATTTGCATTTTCAGGTTTTTTTTTGCTTTCTTTTTTTTATATTTAGACGTTTTGTGTTATATCTATGTATAAGTAAACCATCTTAAATGAATGAAAGTAGGCTACAAGTAAGAAAAAAGTATTACTATTGTAAATCTGTATCAGTCCTCACAAGCCGATGATGAAAACTGTAATACTAAAGCGAACATGCAAAGCAAACGGACGCTGTAAATTACATGTCTGAGGCGGAAAAAACAACCAAAATAAAATAAACCCAGTAAGTATTCTGCACCTTAAGCGAATC